ATCTCGTCCCTCGCCCATGCCGTAACAACAACGACGACGACGACAACAACGACGACGACAACGACAACGACAACGACAGACAGCAACGACAGCAGCGCCAAACCATCACCATCACCATGTGGCGTGCTGTCGCTCGAGCCCGATCCCGATGTCGCCGAGGGCTACGCATACACGCTGCAGCTGCAACCACAATTCGGAAGCCTGTACGCGGCGGGAACAGAGGCGTGCCCAAAGATTGCCACCGTCTACTTGCCTCCGGCCTACCCGGAGCTGGCCCCTGCCCTGCGCTTCCGCTCCATCATGCGCCACGCCAATGTCTTGCAGAACACGTTTGTTGCCGACAACCTCATCGACTACTGGCTCAGGCACGGGTGTGCCGAGTGTGAGGTGCCAGCCCTCACCGACGTCTTCGACTTTGAGCACGCGTCCTCCAGCAACGCTTTGCTCGGGGTGATCGCCTTGGCCTTTGTCATGCTGCACGCACCGGCGCCAGAGCCACCACACCCGCTCGTGGACGCCCCGGTGGCAGACCTCCTTCACCTGTGGACGACGCACCGCGACCAGTGCGCCTGCCCGCTCTCTGCGTGCATGCCGTGCTTGCCCAGCGAAATGCGCGCCCTCCTCGCGGAGGACAACAACCACAGCCGCGGCCACAGCAACGACCACGACCACGACCACGATGAGAACTGCAGCCATCATCACCATCATCACCATGACAGCAGCGACGGCTGCCCTCCTTTGCATCTGCCGCAGCGTGCGCAAGAGCTGATCCTTGTGTTCCGGCGCAACCTGGCTGCCCTTCCCCAGTACATGTACGAGGCAATGGCCGAGCTGCAGTATGACAGGGACCGCACTGCCCAGGTGTGGCGACAGCAGACGCAGCAACCAAACCTGTATCGCCCCTCCGCTCCCCTTCATCTCCTCCCCCAAGGTGCTCTCAACACCCTGCCACCCACGGACCCCCACCATGATCAGGCTGATGCCGGCCACCCAACGCCAGCTGCAAAACGTTCTTCTTCTTCTTCTTCTTCTTCTTCTTCTTCATCTACAGCGCAACTCACAGCACCGCAGCAACAAACGCCACAACAGACACAGCAACAACCACAAGCACAATCACCACAACTGTCGTCGCTGTCTCCCTCGGTGTATGTTGAGAGCACCATGTGGCAGCAGGGAGCGCTTGCCCGCGACGTGTTGCAAGAGTGGCTCGATCCATCACTGTTTGATGCGCTCTGCAGCAACGACCGACCTGCTGCACTCCGCGCACTGGCCACGTGCAAGGACAGCGAGCACCTGGGCTGTGTGTTTTCGCTGCCGTTTCTCCGTGCCGACGCCTGTGACCGTCTGGACCGGGAGGTTCACGCGTATGAGCAGTCGAGCCTGCCCAAGATGCGTCCAAACTCAATGAACAACTACGGGCTTGTGCTGGACGACATCGGGTTGGAGCCCTTGTTTGACTTGTTTGCAGCTCAGGTGGCGCAGCCGCTAGCGTCAGTGCTGCTGCCAGAGACGGCACACGGCAACCTGCCACTGGACAACCACCACGCCTTTGTTGTGCAATATCGGCCGGAACAGGACCGCCACCTGGACATGCACGTGGATGACAGTGACGTCACCATCAACGTGAACCTCTGTGATGCTTTCCAGGGCTCGGAGCTCCAATTCTGCGGCGCCCTGCACCGCCCCAACCACCGCAAGCACACGCTCACATACAAGCACGTGAAGGGCCGTGCTGTTATCCACCCGGGCAGTGTTCGCCACGGCGCTGACGCAATCACAGACGGGTACCGCTCCAACCTCATTCTGTGGTGTCGTGCATCACGCTATCGTGTCACACCGCAGTGGCGACAACTGCACATGCGGCACGCTGAGGAGGGTGCGCCAGACACCATCTGCCTCTCTCGCACACATGACCGCGACTTCCACGTGCACGCTGACGACGACGGTGGTGAGGAGCACCATGATGGTTCCGAGACGCCAGCTGAAGCATAAGCAACGCGCTTTGCAAATGTTACACCTCGGGTGATCATCAGAAGCTCCGCTTGTTGTATTTGTGTGTGTGTGTGTGTGTCTGTCTGTGTCTGTGTCTGTGTCTGTCTGTCTGTGAGGAGAGTTTCCTTTTTGGCCATTGGTGTAACGCTTGCTTGCGTGTTGAATCTGAACAGTGGTGCTTGCGTTCTCGCACACGCTTCCTTTCCTTTCCCTCCCCCCTCCTGCCATCCTTTACTCTCTATGCCGATCGTCTGAGCTGGCCTTGTCGTCTAATCGCCTCCATCACATACAAGCAAACAAGTGGTGAACCTGCCACCTTCAAAAAGCTGTCTATCAACACGCGCACGAACATAGAGATGTACATGAACGCACATGCACACACAACACATGTTATGCACACAACACACACGCATACACACACACACACAAAACCACACCACTTCCTCACTGGCCAAACTTGGCGCAGTGCTTGACAAAGCAGTCGCCCGTCTTGCACAGTCCATCTGGTGCACATGCAGCACAGAAGTAGCGTGTGCGGCGCCCACAGATGACGCACAGCCGCTGTGGATACTTGTCCTTGAGTCTCTTCACCCACATCTGCTGCTTCCGATCAAACGTCGAGTAGAGAGGAATCATTTGCAGCGTGTGCAGCTGGCTCTCCGTTGGGCTTGATGGCGCCACGTTCACCCCACCTGCCATGGCTGGTGGCGGTGGTGGTCCCATCCCTGGCCCCATCGCAGCTGCCATGGACGAGGGTGTGACAGATGATGCGGAGAGCGGTGTTGACAACTGGTGCGGTAACACGTGTGCACTCCGCGCATCCACACCGCTCGCAAACGACGACGATGATGTCGACGAAACAGTGACCGCCTCCCGCGAAGAATAGTGCTCTCCGCCGTGGACGCGTGTGGACGGGTGGGTGCCTGCGGTTCCAAGCGCCGTGTTGTGGTGCGCAGGTCCAACGCCAATCCCGGTTGACACGGCCTCAGACACTCCGCTGTACAACAGCTCGCGTGCGAGTTGCAGCACAAACGACGTCGCATCCAACGCACCGCCGCCATCTCCGCTGTCTTTGCTGCTGCTGCTGCTGCTGGTGGTGCTGCTGCTGCTGCTGTTGCCGTGCACATGCACGTGCATCTTGTACGCGTTGTCGATGGCTGTGCTCACCAGGAACCAAAACTGACTCTCCCACCAGTCTGAACACGAAACAGCACGACGCACGGCCTTTCCAATCGAACTCCGAGTCGTGGCAGTGATCACTTCTTCTTCCCCTGGCGGCGATTTTGAGGAGGACTGTGCCCCCGGCTCGGTTGTGGTTGTGTGCATGATGTTACCACCATGGCCATTGTGAATTGAATGCGCTGTCGCTGTTGCTGGAGGTGGTACTTTTGCCTCGCCAACGGCAACACCGTTGTGTCTGCGCGCTTCCTGACACACACGCAAGATGTGCGGATACAACTGCTGTTGCTGCTGCTGCTCTTGTTGTTGCTGTTCTTGTTGTTGCTGTTCTTGCTGTGGTTGCTGCTGTTGCTGCTGATATTGGTGGTGCTGGTGCTGGTGTGTATGTGGTGGAGGTGTTGTGGAGAGTGAAGTCGCAGTGTGGTCCTCGCCACCCTGTGCTCGCTCTTCATCGCCAAAGCCCCGAACATCCAGCGTGGCGGGCTGCGGCTGTTGATGGTGGTGGCGCTGGTGCTGGTGGTGCTGCTTCTGGTGGTGCTGGTGGTGATGATGTGGTGGCTGCGCTGGGGGCAAGGGCGGTAGTGGCGGTCGTGACAGCTGCGATGGAAAGGGGGCATCCCCAACGGCACCCGTAGGGATAGCATCGCCATCATGGTGCTGCTGATGATGGTGCGTGTCTGCACGGTAGGAGGTGGTGCCAAAGGTTGACGCCAGCATGCACACGTGCGACACGCCGCGCACAGCAGCCACATACACGCCCTCACCGCCCACGCTTCCAACGCGTGCGATGCATTGTCCAGGGGCGAGGGTAACAGCATCGGCCTTGAGCTGGGCAACAGGAAGCGCGCGACTCCATCGCATGTTGCTGCTTCGAATCGGCGTCACACCAAAGATACCTGCCCGCCGCAACGCCGCCAGCAACTCAAGCGATCCAACATCACCATCAATCACAACAGCACTGCCGGTCAACGACGTGCTGCTGCCGGCGCTGTGGGGACCTGTGGTTGTGGGTGCTGCTGCATGCCTCATGCCTGTATATACTGTGCCGAGGCTGGGCTGTTCTTGTTGTTGCTGTTCTTGCTGTGGTGGCTGCTGGTGCTGCTGATATTGGTGGTGCTGGTGCTGGTGTGTATGTGGTGGAGGTTGTTGTGGGAGAGTGAAGTCGCAGTGTGGTCCTCGCCACCCTGTGCTCGCTCTTCATCGCCAAAGCCCCGAACATCCAGCGTGGCGGGCTGCGGCTGTTGATGGTGGTGGCGCTGGTGCTGGTGGTGCTGCTTCTGGTGGTGCTGGTGGTGATGATGTGGTGGCTGCGCTGGGGGCAAGGGCGGTAGTGGCGGTCGTGACAGCTGCGATGGAAAGGGGGCATCCCCAACGGCACCCGTAGGGATAGCATCGCCATCATGGTGCTGCTGATGATGGTGCGTGTCTGCACGGTAGGAGGTGGTGCCAAAGGTTGACGCCAGCATGCACACGTGCGACACGCCGCGCACAGCAGCCACATACACGCCCTCACCGCCCACGCTTCCAACGCGTGCGATGCATTGTCCAGGGGCGAGGGTAACAGCATCGGCCTTGAGCTGGGCAACAGGAAGCGCGCGACTCCATCGCATGTTGCTGCTTCGAATCGGCGTCACACCAAAGATACCTGCCCGCCGCAACGCCGCCAGCAACTCAAGCGATCCAACATCACCATCAATCACAACAGCACTGCCGGTCAACGACGTGCTGCTGCCGGCGCTGTGGGGACCTGTGGTTGTGGGTGCTGCTGCATGCCTCATGCTGTTGCCATGACCACGGTCACTGCTGTTGTGGCTGTTGTGGCTGTTGTGGCTGTTGTGGCTGTTGTGGCTAGGTGTGACAGCCGCTGCGCTTTGTCGTGCTGGTGAAAGGGACACCGGCACCCCCGCGGCCAGCAACGCGCGCAGGGCAAGCTGTGACGGCGACAGCCGCTTGCGAGCAAAGGCCCTGCTGCCTGCGTGTGTGTCAGTGCCACCAGCGTCACGACGAATGCTGCTGTAAGGGGAGAGGTGGGTGGAATTCCTGCGCATTGCCGACGACGACGACAGCGACAATGATGTTGATGATGATGTTGATGATGATGATGATGATGTGTGCATGTGCGTTGCGGGGGTGTGCGGGTGCCTTGCTTCACGGAGCGCCTTGCGCAACATATCAGTCACGTTGCGTGTTGCCTGTGGAAACGCACTTCCTGGTCGCTGCTGTTGGTGCTGTGCGTCTGGCGAGTCCGCATCGTCCTGTGCACTTTGAGGCGGTGCGCGTCCTGGGTCTGCGGTTGCAGGCACATTCCCTGCACTGCTGCTCTGAGCGGTGGGCGCATGCGATACCACGCCGCCTGCCTTACGTGTGTTGGTGGGAGAAGGCATGCTCAAGTACACGGCAAACACCACCCCGGTCTGGGCACACGACACTGCTGAGAACTGTGTTGAGAGCGGGTGGCGCTGCGATCCGCACGTGTGTCCAGTGGTGAGGCGAAGCAGCCACGACGGTGTGAAAGCCGCCTGCGTGCGCGCGTTCATTTCATCCACAAGATCACACAATATGATGATCGGTAAGATCTGCTGGTGCTGTTGTCGTCGTTGCTGTTGTCGTTGTTGCTGTTGTTGCTGCCGACGTTGGTGTTCTTGTGGACTTTTGTCGGCGTTGCTTGCGGTGTTTGCGTTGCTTGTGTTGCTGGCTGTGTTTGTGCCGGCGTAATCACCACTGAACCGCGGTGCTGGCCGTGCGCGTGCGAGTGCGAAGCGACGGAGGCGACCAGCAATGTGCTGAAACCGATCAAAGGACATGAGGTCGGCGAAGCTCGAGCGAATGGTGAGCGGATGCGACATGGACACAGGTCGCCAGAACGAGCGAAGCGGCTGCTGTGGATATTGGGACATGAGCAGGCACAGCCCGAGATAGCGCGAGAACTCGCTCGCTGTGATGCTGCCGTCGCTGGCGTCACAGGCAACGTGATTGCTGTTGTTGCTGCTGCTGCTGCTGTTGTTGACAGTTGCGGCCCTGGGTGGTGGTGCTGCTGTTGTTGTTGGTGTGTCGCTGGCGTCTTGCGGGTTGGCCGTGCGTGCACTGTGTGACGACGATGACAGTGGTGAAGATGATGATGGTGGCGGTGGTGGTGGTGACGGTGACGCCAAAATGCTGTCGGCGATCCCCTCTAGCGGAAAGAATGTGGCAAAGAGGCTGAGCGGAGAGTAGTGGCGCGCGTGGCGGTTGCTGTGCGCCTCCTGGAACTGTGTCAGAGGCGGCATGGGTCGGTGGTGTGGAACGAAGCGGGCATTGCGGTTGCCAACGTGCCAGCCATGCGCCCTGCTCGTGGTGTCGGTGGCGCCTGGATGCATGTTCGCGGTGCTGCTCGTGCTACTAACGTTGCTACTGTTGTTGGTATGTGTAGGGATCAAAGTTGTGTTGGCAGGCACATTCGTGGCGGTGATCGTCGTGTTTGTGCTCGTGTTGCTGGTGGTGCTGGTGGTGTTGGTGGTGCTGGTGGTGCTGGTGGTGCTGGTGGTGCTGGTGGTGCGCCAGTCACGTGTAATGTGCGTATATGCGCCATGCCATGTGTACCGCGCACGGGCCCACTTGCTTCTGCGGCGACGATGCAGCACACCTGTACCACCACCACCATCACCATCATCACCACCACCACCACCACCACCACCACCAACAGCAGCAGAAGCAGCAGAAGCAGCAGAAGATGCAGAAGCAGCAGAAGGACTGGCTGCTTGCGCCAGAGATGGTGGTTGAGCGGACGAGGCGCGCCGCTTTGCGCGCTTACGTGGCTGCCCTCCATCGTTGTCATCTTGATCTTCACCGATGTCATCGACATGTGGTGTGCGTGAGCCACTGGCTCTGCTGTGTACACTATCACCTTCGCCATCGCTGCCTGGATGTGCAAACGCTGTGCTTGTGCCACAACCATGATCCTCATCGTGGTTGCGGCCACCACGAAAGTCATCATCACCGCTGTCACGCCCATCACTGTCATCATCGGAAATGCTCTCCCAGTCGGAATCATCGTCCTCCACACTCAGCAGCAGCTCATTTTGCACGTGCACGTGCACCAGCTCGGGTTCACCTGGCGCCACTCCGCTCTCACACGCCAACGCTGTTGCACCCTTGTCCTGGCTGTGGTCGTGCTGCTGCTGTTGCTGCTGTTGTTGCTGTTGCTGCTGTTGTTGCTGTTGCTGCTGTTGCTGCTGTTGCTGCTGTTGCTGTGGCTGTTGCTGTTCTTGGTGTTGCTGCTGTTCTTGTTGGTGCACCTCTTCGGGGGCATCCCGGTGCTGCTCTTTGTGTTGATCGTGGCGTTGCTGCTTGCCCGCGTGTATGTGTCGACGTTGTCGCGCTCCACCACTTGAGTTGCGCAGGCCTGGCTCCTCCTCCTGTCGTGGCTGCCGCTGCCCTTGATGTTGTTGCTGTTCTCGTTGTTGTTCCCGTTGTTCCCGTTGTTCTCGTTGTTCCCGTTGTTCCCGTTGTTCTTGGTGTTCTTGTTGTTGTTGCAGGTCCGGGTTGCTGTCATCATCATGCGGGGGCGGCGCCTTACTCGACAGCCCACGATCCGCCCTAACAACTGCTTGTGACGAAGATTGCTTTTGCGCACCCTTCCGTGAAGAGGATCCATCTTGCTGCTGTTGCTGCTGTTGCTGTTGTGATGGCTGCGGCTCGTGCTGTGGTTGGTCCACTTGTACGTCGGAATTCGCTGATGGTGGCGTGTAGTGGTGCCCCTGGTGCAACCCAAGCAAGACTGGATGCTCCGAGTGTGACGGCAGCCTTGATAGCTGCGGCATCTGTTGCTGTTGCTGTTGCTGCTGGTGCTGCTGTTGCTGTTGTTGTTGCTGCTGGTGCTGGTGCAGGTGTGGGTGTGGGTGTGGGTGCGTGTGATGCTGGTCGAGGCTGTGGTGGGCGTGGGCTTCGTGGCGCGTGTGGGAAAGTGTGTGGCGGTGGTGGCCTGCGTGGTGCACGGAAGGCTGTGATGGGGCAGGCGGCACGGGTGCATAAGGCACTGGGGGTCTGTGCGGTGGAGGTAAGCTTGGCAACTCAAGCATGGAAGGGGCCGGTGGCGGTGGCCCCACCGCATGTGCATGCTGCTGTTGCTGCTGTTCATGCTGCTGCTGCTGCTGCTGCTGCTGCTGCTGTTGTTGTTGTTGTTGTTGTTGCTCTTGCTCTTGCTGGTGATGCTGCGATCGATAGGGCATGTACTCCGTCCCAAAAGAGGCGGGTGGTTGCTGGTGCTGGTGATACGGCTGTAGTTGTGCGCCAACAACAGGCGGCGCTTGGTATGGCAGTGCGTGCCTTGGCTGCCCATCGTCGTGGTGATGGGAGTGGAACTGCTGCTGCATGTGGTGCTGGCTGCCGTGAGGGGCGTGTACGAGGACGTGGTGGTGATGGTGGTGATGGTGGTGGTGCTCTGCCGGGTTCTGCTGGGTATGCGCCAGGACCTGCTGTTCCTGCAATACCTCTGCATCCTGCTCAAGCGCCTGCTGTTGGTGCTGTTGGTGGTGCTGTTGGTGGTGCTGCTGTTGCTGTTGCTGTTGTTGTTGGTGATGATGCTGGGGCAAGGGAGGGAGGGCCAGTCCTTGCAGCATGCTTGGGTGATGCGGGTGCTGTGAGGACGCCGTCTGGTGGCGAGAGACCAGCATGCCATGGGAGGCCCCTTCCTCTTGCTGCTGCTGGTGCTGCTGATAGCTGACGTGTTGGTGGTGTGGGCCGTCGTCGTACGGGCCCGGTATGACGACGGCAGAGGACGACACAGCCACGGCCGCAGCAGCAATAGCAGCAGCAGAGGAGGCGGAGGAGGAGGCGGTGGAAGGGGAGGTCGAGGAGGTGCTGGTCGTGGCGGTGGTGGTCGTTGTGGTGGCTGATGAGACGGGAGGGGCAGCAGCAGAGGTTGGCGTGGTAGAGGAGGTGGCGGCCAAGGGCGCGTGTTGTTGGTCTTCGTTCAACGCAGCGTAAATGGGTGGCAGGTGAACATCTCCAGCCCGCAGGCCAGGATGGTGTAGTGGGAGGGCGTGCAGCAACGGGTGCTCCTGTGCCGTGCCAGCGCCGCTGCCGCTGCCGCTGCTTCGACGCAGGCTGTCATTGGTTTTGTCAGCATCCGCTGTTGACGCAGCTGCCAGCGCCGCCGAGTTGTCATGAAAGGATGTCGGTGGCGGCGGCGGTGGCGGTGGCCCCATTTGCTGTTGCTGTTGTTGCTGTTGTTGCTGTTGTTGCTGTTGTTGCTGTTGTTGCTGCTGTTGTTGTTGCTGTTGCTGTTGCTGTTGCTGTTGCTGCTGCTGCTCAGGCTGGAAGCGCTGTTTGTCGGGGCTTGTGCAATTGCGATCGTTTCCTGTGTTGGCATGCTGCTTGTGCTGCTTGTGCGCCTGTTGCTGTGGCCGCGGAGAGGTGAGCAGTTGTGAGATTGGCAGCTGTGCTTGCTGATGCTGCTGCTGGGGCCTGTGCTGTTGGGCTTGCTGCGGCGGCGCCTTGCTGTGGGATCGGGGCTGTCGCGGGGAGTCTGCCTCCGTCTGCATGACACGGCAGTTGCCCCTTGCAGCGTAGAATTCGTGGCCCGGGTGCAGATCCCACCGCAAGAGGGCGCAGTTCTTCTTCTTGTCGCGCTCACCAAAGCCAGTCACCAGCAGATTCTGCAGCACCTGACCCCGCACATCATGCACCAGCGTTGACACCAGGTGTCTTGGATACACGTACCGCGCAACCACGTTGACTCGCGCGCCAGTGGCCAGGTTGCGGTTTGGCCGAGGCATCGCGTGCGGTGCGCGTGTATGTGTGTGTATGTGTGTATGTGTGTATGTGTGTGTGTGTGTCTGGTGTGTGTGGTGATGTGTGTGTGTATGTGTGTGTGTGTGTGTGTGTGGGTGGGTGGGTGGTGATGTGTGTGTGTCTGCGTGTGGGCAGGATGTCCTCCTTGTTGTGCCGTCAAACAAAGCTGTGGCGGCGCACTTTGGTGTGTGTGCTTGTGCGGCTGTTTGTTTGTCGCTCGAAAGCGAGCCTTGTTTTGGTGGGGGATAAAATAAATGGTGGGCTACACCCCGTAAAAGTTGATTCATTCACAATTTTCTTACATGGAAGGACAGAAACAGACACCACAAAATATACTGTAACTGGTGGCCGAAGGACGACGACGAGAGACGGGTTTTTTGTTTGTGTGTGTCGCCGCGACGTGCACGCACACAAACCACAGCAGGCGCTGCAATCAAGCAAACACAGACACACACACACACACACAGGCAGATAGACAGGCAAGGGCACGTCAACCCCAACTCTGCGAGCAACACAACCGAACAAGGGATTCAATCCAACAGGACAGTCTGAACCGCACACGATGTCGTCGCTCTTGTATGACGATGACAACCAAGGAGGAAGTTATGCACCACCAGACTCCACACCAGATCAACATGACAGGTCAGATCCCATGCATGCGTTGTGTGTGTATTTGTGTGTGGCTGTGTGTGTGTGTGTGTGTTTGTATTTGTGTGTGACTGTGTGTGGGTGCGTGTGTGTAAATTTGTGTGTTTGCGTGTGCATTTGTTCATGTGCACATGTCGCGCTCTCTGTGCACGACACACCAACCTCCTGTGCATACACGTCCGTGTCTGATGGCGTGGTCCCTGGTGCTGCACCCCGCCTTCTTCGTCCAAGCTGCTTCTCTCCCTGCTGTTCCTTCAATGCATGCATGCACACCGCAGTCCCATGCAGTTGCGGACTCACAAATCTACCATCCGCCACCGCTACTTGCTCTACCAACAACAACATGCAACAACAACAACAACAACAACAACAACCAACCGACGACGACGACGATGATGACCATTACGACGCCACGCAACCAACATGCAACAACAACTTAAACAACTTAAACAACAACAACAACTTAAACAACAACAACAACTTAAACAACAACAACAACTTAAACAACAACAACAACTTAAACAACAACAACAACTTAAACAACAACAACAACAACAAAAACAACAACAACAACAACCCACCCACCCACAAACCAACCAACCCATGCACCATGCACTATGTAGGGATCTGGAGGTGACTGTGCAGTTTGGAGACGACACGCACGAGTTCCGCGTGCCTCGGAGCATGCCCATCCGGCAACTGAAGATGCGCATTGCTGCAAGGACGGGCGTGGCACCAGCCAATCAACAGCTATTTGGCTTTGCCTTTGAGCTGGAGTCCATCGACGACCTCACCCTCAGGCACCTCACCAGACTGTCCGAGCAAACGCTCAATCTGCTGCTGGTGGTCAAGGAGGAGGAGGAGGACGACGACGACGCGCCACGCGGCGACGATCCTGCACACATGATGCGCTACGGCTCGCGGGTAACACAGCATGCTACCACACACGGGCCCGCTCCGCCGATTCCGGGTGGGCAGCAGGCGCTTCGGCAGACATGGCGCCAGCCGCGCCCTCCACTCGCAAGCAGCGACGAGGACGAGGATGTGCCAGCGCTCTTGGGCGATCAGGACAGCCGCGACAACGGCACGCGCGACAACGGCACGCGCGACAACACCGGCGAAGCGGGGCCGTCACCACATCCACGGCTCCCGATGCCGCCATATCGGGTGTCGCAACACACGCCACACACCCACGACGCTGATGGTGATGGTGATGATGATGGTGCGGGACCGCGTCACGCAGACAGCACCGGTGGCGGCGGCAGCCATGCACATGACCCGCACCACCCTTTGCACTGGCTGCTTTCGCCAGACGCGCGACGCGAGCAGGGGCACGGGCTGGACACGCTGCGCCGCATGATGATGGTGCACTCTCAACAACAACGAGAACAACAACAACAACAACAACAACAACAACAACAACAACAACAACAACAACAACAACAACAACAACAACAACAACAACGAGAACAACGAGAACAGAGGGAGCGGGCGATGGATCGAGCCACGGAAGAGTACCTCAATGCCTTGTGCGCTGCAGATGAGCGTGCTGCCCTGCGTGCTGCCACGGGTGCACGCCATCTCTCGCCGTATTTGCACGACCCGGAGAGCGACGCGGATGTGGATGCGTCCCTGATTGCCGAGGGCGACGCAGACCAGTCGTTTGACGGCGAGCTGCTCATGCCATCCGGCGATTTCACCACAGAGGAGTTTGTCGCCGCCTTCCAGAACAAGCACGCGCTGTGCCCGCTGTTTCTGCAAGGCACGTTCCGCCAGGCCCTGACGGAGAGCACGAGGCGAGGGCTGCCGCTGCTGCTCTACCTTCACGACGACCGCTCCCCCACCAACGCCGGCTTTGCCGACCTTGTGTGCGACCCGGCAGTGGTGTCTGTCCTCACCAGCTACTTTGTTGTCTACGGCTACGACTTCACGCACACCGTGGCGCGGCGGCGCTTCCTGGAGGAGGCGAACAAGGCCGTTCGGCTGGGTGATGGCCTCACCTCGGAGTTCCCCTGCCTCGTCGTGCTTGCACGCATTGGCGGGCTGTTTCAGCTGACAAAGTGCATCACCGCCAGCACGTGCGACTCCGCTGCGGACCTGGCGTCCACCCTGGAGATGGAGGGTGTGCTTGTCATGTCGCAGACCATCGACGACGCTGCGCAGGGAGGCGATGCCGCTGGACACGGCGACAGCGGTGACGGCGGGCCCCGCTCAGAGGCACAGCGGCTGCGTGACGAGCAAGATGAGGCGTACCGGGCATCGCTGGAGGCCGACCAGCGCAAGGAGAAGGAGAGGGAGGATGAGGCAGCAAGGCGCAGGGAGGAGCAGGAAGCACAGGCAGAGGTGCAGCGGGCGCAGGATGAGATGAAGGACGCGCTTGCGCAGCAGGTGCGCGATGAACCACCGCAGGGGCAGCAGTGCGTCATGGTGCGCGTGCGCGCGCCGAACAACAACAACATCACCCGCCGCTTTCACAACGATGCGACGGTTGGGGAGCTGGAGACATATGTTGGCTCGCTCGGGTTCCTGCCCACCACCCACCGCCTTCGCTTTCCCATGGGCACAACGGTGCCAGATGATGACAAGACCACCACCCTCGTTTCCCTCTTTCCGTCTGCCCGCTTCCGCGTGGATGTTGAGCCCCTCTGATTTGTTCTTGGTGTGCGTCTCCCTGTATGCCTGTCTGTGTATTTGTGTGCCTGTGCGTGTGCGCCTGTGTATGTGTGTCTGTCTGTCTATCTGCTGTGTCTGCCTACCTACATATCTGTCTGTGTCTGTCTATCTGTGTGTGTGTGTGTGTGTGTGTGTCTGTGTCTGTGTGTGTGTGTGTCTGTGTCTGTGTGTGTGTTTGTGTGTAAGGGGTGCACCTCGACACTCTGTGAGTTGTGCTATGTTACAACGCCTTCTACTCTTTGGCTCTAATTGAACCGCTAACTCACGTCTCAACACACGCGTGTCCATTTAGTTGTGAGCGGAGATATGGCATGGGGTACGGTGATCACATGGATGTTGAAAATGCGGGTGTGGTAAACCTGCCCGTGTGCGGAATCATATGTGGTTTCTTGTGAAGCGGCGTGCCATCCGGGGCTATGCCCATCTGCACAGGCAGCACGGCAAACGGAGGTGAGTGATGCACAGGCCAGCGGCGGTGCATGTACGATGAACCGTACTCGTTCACATCTACATGCCTGCTTGTTTGCTTGCTCGCTTGTTTGCTTGCTTGTTTGTCTGTTTGCTTGTTTGCGAGTCTGACAAGCACGTGCCTCCCCCCCCCCCTCACCCCTCCGTCTTCATCCTCTGCGTGGTGTGTGTTTGGCTCTCCACCGGCCATCGTGCACGGCATGCACGGCATTGCGCAGACTTACCGAAGCAAAGTTTGACGAAATACCACCACCCACGTGGCGCCCGAGAAGCATGCCAATTCCACCGCCTCCTACGCCTCCTCCCCTTGTTGTTGTTGTTGCTGCTGCCACTGTTCCGGTGCCGCCCAGGTGTTGTGCGGGTGGCAGATGGCCGCCAAAGCGACGAGGGGACGGTCCACCCATGGCATCCGCTATAGAAGTAGGGTTGTAGGGGAGGAAAACAAAAGCGTCGGAGAGGATGCGTGTGAGCGATACGAGCAGTGTGATCGGAATGGGTCTCACGCAGCCCCCAGAACAGGCTTCAAACATCGCTCGGCACGAACGCGTGGCAAGGAAAGCAAACGTATCCATTGAAGCATTCATTTCACTTCTCGACTTGCCGGGTGACTTTCGAATACTCAGGCGAACAGACGGTGGCGCCAGCTAAACACAGGCGAGACACAGGTCACGCATTGGGACGGGAGGGTGAAACAAATAGCCCCAAGAGCATGTGATACATGTGCGTGTGCAGATGTGTGAAACACAAAAAGCGCGGAAGCGGGCATCATGTCACAATGCCACAGCATTGTCTGAGAAGGCATTAATTACCCTTGCTGAAGATGACCCTGGAGCTTGCCGTCGAGCAGAGAGCGGCGTGATGGGGCTATGCAAAGCGGGGAGATACAATCCGGGTTACATTGCAGGGAGGAATGGACATGAAGGTGCACAAGCCCCTGGCATAGGCCTATGAGCGTGCTGGAATGGCATGAATGACATAAATGACATGACACTATTGGTTGCCTGCCTGACCCCGGCAGGTTCTTATGACACACCTTGGTCCACGGTCGTAGGTGGAGCGAGGCCTGTCCATGGGAGGACGGTTAGGTGTAATCGCGGCACCAGGTCCATGAGGGTTGACATGGCGTGGCTGCAGGTGTTGCTGTGGATAGTGGTGGCGCTGCTGGTTGTGCTGCATCGGGGTTTGCTGGTTGATGGGGTGGTGGTGGGCTTGTTGTAAATGCTGGTGTTGCGGCTGATCATATCGCGGCCGTTGCTGCTGCTGTTGTTGTTGTCGTTGCTGCTGTTCTCGTCGTGCTGTTGTGCTTGCCTGGCTATGATAGTTGCTGAGCTGCTTTGCCGACGCAGGCGCTGCCTTGCTGGTGTTTTTGAGCCGCTTCAGCGTCGCTTGCAGCTCCTGGTTCTCCCTGTACAACTTCTTCAATGCCAGCTTCATCTGCTGGTACCGGAACGCGTCCACCTTTGCAAGTTGGTGACATGACGATGGGCAGGCAGTCAGTACCAAAGCGGTGTGACGCAAGCAAGATGTACCGTTGGGTCGTGAAGGAGCTCTCCACGTGCTGGGTCCTCCACCCCAAGACGCGTAAAGCAGGAGATGGAGGAAGGAAGCAACAGCAACACAGCACGAAGCGAAGACAGCAGACAAACACAAACACAAGCGCAGGTACGGCTACACACACACGCGCGCGCACACACACACACGTGCGCAGGCGCGCGTACTTTTGTCGCTTTGGCAAGTGCTGAGGTGACTTGCTGCGTGTGATTCCATGTCTGTGCGAAGAACTGTGTGTTCGGGGAAGGGCATGTAGGGAGGAAAAGGAAAGCGTTGGGTCCCAGCGCAGTGAGCAGAAAGAGCAAACATGGCTCCGTCGAGAGTCAACATCTTGTGCCCTGTACTCACACCCTCACCAAGACTGAACAACACACCTCTTTGCCAGTCGTCATCTCTCTGTGAATGCGCAGCGTTGACAAGGGCTTGCCGCACTCCAAGCACTGCTGTCGTCCTGCGTCAAGCAGAGCAAGCAAAGGCCCATGTAGGGTCGATGACTCAGTGAATTGAAGAAGGGGCAGATCAAGGGGTGTGTTGTGCTGTGTTGTGCTGTGCTGTGCTGTGTTGTGCTGTGTTGTGCTGTGTTGTGTGTGTGAGTGTGTGAGTGTGTGAGTGTGTGAGTGTGTGAGTGTGTGAGTGTGTGAGTGTGTGAGTGTGTGATTTTGTCTCTGTCCCTGTCTTCCACTGCTTCCCTCACTCCATGAATCGGTGCATGCCGCACCGCCGCCATCAGTAGCACCGTACCTGCCGTGCAAGCGCTGCAGAAGATATGCGCACACTTGGTGAGCACAAATGCAGCATCGTTGGAGTATGGCTTCTTGCAGTGGTTGCACAGAAACCAATCCTGTGTCGATGAAGCATAGCGTTGTTGAGGTGGTTGTGCACGCCGTGAGATGCAGGAGAGGAAGGCATTCAATGCAAGGGGTGTCTCGAATTGGAGCGTCAACATACTGACTCACCATTGCTCATGGGGGTGTTGTGATGTGGTGGAGAGCCTTGACTAGTTGACGATGCCAGCGAAGCAAGCGGGCGTGATGCGACAAGAAGACAAGGAAGCAAGCAAGCCAAGCACGCGTTCCCGTGGCAACAGCGACAGCACGGAGCAAACGGCGAACAACAGCAGAAGAGCAGAGGTGAGAGGTGAGGGGGCAATAAGAAGAACAAACCAACTGACTACCAAATGAAGAAGATCAGCGCAAGGACTGCTTTTGATTTTGGCGGGAAAATCAACCGTGAGCAGAGCAAAGGGGTTGTAAAACTCGAGTAATGTAATGTAACGTGTTTCATGTCATCATCACGATCATCGCAAATATTCTTTCGTGACGCTCATACAATGGCGGTCTCTCGTTTGTCATCCTTTATTTACGCATGCATTGGTTGATGATTAGCAGTGGATTTGATGTCAGAAACAAGAGTGGCACCAATCGCACGATAGCATTGTGCTGTGAGTTGCACACGCAGATGAGAACAAGCAACGCACACGTCCAGCCCTTGTGGCGCCAAGCCACAAACAAAGGCATAGACGCACAAAGACACAAAAGACACATACGCACACACACACACACACAGACAGGCAGGCACACACAGACAGGCAGGCACACACAGACACACACACACACACACACACACACAGACACAGCCACGCACAGACACGCACACACAGACAGACAGACAGACATACATACAAACGCACAGCCCGCCGGGTCTCCTGTGGTGATGTCACCGCTTGCCCTTGTGAATGAGGCTGAAGTCACCGGTGTCTGCTGGGGGGCGAACGGGTGCCTTTGACTTGGTGTACTGCTGAAACAGGTCAAGCTCCATGTCCACAACCGTGCGAATCATGCCGGGCAAAAGGTCCTGGCATGGCTTGCACGTGGTGTGCAGGGCTGGGTTCACGTTGATCTCAATCAGCCATGCGTTGAGCTCGTCATCGATCATGAAATCAAAGCCAAGCAGGTCAAACAGCCCTGGGCTGCGGTCCAGGTGAGGGCGCGCACTGAGGAAAGCATGGGTCATAATGGCCTTCATGCGATCCGTGAGGACATGGTTGACCCAGTGCCGCGCCCCAGCTAGTGCGCTCTCGCCCTGCTGCCGTGCATCACCATCATCATGGCTGCTGCTGCTGCTGCTGTCGCCGTCGTTGTTGCTGGTGTCAGCCCGATCACCACCACTGCCACGACCACCACCACCATCGCCAGGGCGTGCGGCGGGGCCGTCGAGCTTGTGCCGTGCTCCCTCCGCAACCGCTGAGCGACCCTCCTCCGTTGCAAGGTATTCGACAAACTGGTCCATGCTCCACATGCTGTCCTGCTTGCGGTCAGCAAAGCCCTCAACGCGCTTCTGCTGGTACTGGTTGGTGAGGTGCGCTGCGGTGTCATCAAAGCTGTCTGCGCTGTACTCCGAAAGGCTCAGTCGCAGGTACCCATGGTGGAAGTACACGAGGAACGGCTGCGTCCACGCGATGAGCATGTATGCGCGTATGTCAAACTTTCGCCTCTGCAGCAGCAGCGGGCGCTGTAGATATCGTTGCACCACCCTCGCCATCTTTGGCCTTGAAGGGGCGTGAGAAAGAGCGGGATGGCCGGTGATGATGTCCGTTTGCGTGCGTGCGTGGGTGCAAGTGAGTGATAATGAGTGACTGAACAAGAATGCTAGTGAATGAGAGAGTGAGAAAGTGGGGCAGTGGGAGAGTGGGAGAGCGAGGAAGTGAGAGAGGGAAGAGAGGATGGGAGAGAGTGAGAGAGTGGGAGTGAGTGGGTGTGTCGTCGCTGACTCATGTGCAATCCAGCAAAGAAATGCCCTGGGCACACCTCTGTCTTCCTTGCCGCAACCGTGCGCTTTCCTCCTTCAGCTCGGCCACAAACTGCTGCGCGTCCTTGACGATAAATATACCCTGGTACAGAAGCAAGCAGGCACGATGTTGTGCGTTTTTGAGTTTGACGCACACAGCGTGGCGCACCGTGCTGACAGGTGGGCATGCAACGAAGCCTGTACACGCACGCACGCACACACACACACACACACACACACACACACACCTGCACACACACACACACACACACACCTGCACACACATACACACACACACACTCACCTGCACACACACACGTATACACACACCATCATCATCATCACAACCATCATACACATGCACACTGCGTGGGTGTCTGCGATTCAACGCGCTTACTTTTCCTTGGTTCATGCCCGTGGGCTTGCAGATCCACACAGCCTTGGGATCCTTCTTCACAGCAGCAAAGAACTCCCGTCGTTCACTGCCCAGAGAAACACGCGCGCACCCACGGCAGTACAAGTCAGCATGAGCAGTTGGATGTGGACTGGAGTGGTTACAAGCTGACTGGCTCAACTGCTAATGGCAGCAAAGGCAGGCACAGCGACAACAGAGACACACAGATAGACAGACAAACACACACGCACATACACACACGCAGACGTACACATACAAACGCACCACCAACAACAACAACTTAAAACAGCAGCAGCGGCAACAGCAGCAAGGGAGTGGACAGCAGTGCACGAAGGTGGATGGCGCACCTGAGATCGTCGACCTTGAAGGATTGCGGAAAGAAGTCTGCCATCTTTAGCTTTGTGGCCGTTGTGCGCTGTGCAACGCGCTCATAACTGCGCAGCGTGTCGATCAGCTTTGCCTTTGATGCAACCACGGAGATCTTGGGATTCCTCGCCAGCAACTGCTTCCCTGTCATCGCCACAGTGACACAACGTGATGCGGCGTGAGCACTTCTTGCCGGAAGAGCCGGGCGTGAGCGTATGAGCACCAGAATGCAATTGCACATGGGTGCGATACGACACGGCCAAGCAGGCCCAGGGGACAAACCTGGGCGAAACGCCTTGAAGTCAATCTGCTTGCGCACCTCCACCCACTTCAGCGTGAACTGAGTCAAGCAACAGAGCACAGCACGAAAGGCATATTATCGAGTAAGTGTGTGTGAGTGTAAGGGTGAATGTGAGGGTGAGTGAGTGAGAAAGCGTGAGTCGGAGGCAGGAAATGGAGATCGTTTCGGTACGCAACATCAGCACACACACACACACACACACATACAACTGCGGTACTTCATCATGGTGCTTGTGTATAACCTCGGAAGAAGCCGGATCGTCAACACGGACCCACCCTCGCTCCAGCAGCGGTCCTGCGATGTGCGTGCATGTGTGCGAGTGCAGTCAACAACAATGTTCTTCATCACAAAACCATTCCCTCGCTCCCGCCAACACCCAGCTCCCTCCTCCCACACAGACAGACAGACACAGACACAGACACAGACACAGACACAGACACAGACACAGACACAGACACAGACACAGACACAGACACAGACACAGACACAGACACAGACACAGACACAGACACAGACACATTGGCATGCAACACAACCCCCTCCCCGCCTCTCCCGGCACGATCAGCACATACACACTCCGCCCGCTCCCCCTCTCACTGACCTGCGATGAGATCAACGCCATTGTTGCCACCAATGAAGAAGGTGTGCCTACGGCCACCACTGCCACTTCTGCTGGTAGCCGTGCGTCGTCGTTGTTGTTGTTGTTGAGCGCTCATATCCAACTGCACTTCTTGCTGTCGCAATCAAAATTGGGAGAGGGGGGGGGGGGGGGGGGTGGTTGGCTTGTGATGTGAGATGTGATTGACATGATGACATGTGACATGGTGTGCTCTCACATCCCACCACCATCCCATCGCCTCACATCACTCTGTTCACCCTCTCTGCTTACGTCAAGGTTGGCATTTGCAGTGGTGGCGGCTGTGTTGTCGTTTACATGTTGTTGTTGTTCATCAAGCGAATCTCAGCAAGCATCCAAACACGCACACACACACATGAACGAACACACATCAGTGACACCACACCGAAACAAACAGATTGCAGCCAAGGGACACGAGTGGACAGGCAGAGACACGAGTGGGCAGGCAGGGACACGAGTGGACAGGCAGAGACACGAGTGGGCAGGCAAAGACACAGAGACACACAGACAGACATGAACGAACACACACACACACACACACGCATACGCACACACGCACACACGCACACACGCACACACACACACACACACACACACGCACACGCACACACACGCACACACAGCGGGCTACTATTGCATGTGCTCGGCCTGGAAGTGGAAGTAGGCGCCTGTTGCCTGTGCGTTGGTCGTCTGCGGCATTGGTGAGGCCTGCAGCTGCTGCGCTGCAAACCCGCCAAACGCCTGCGGTGCCGGCGCAGTCACTGGGGAGAGCGCAGGAACAGGCGACTGGGCCACGCCCTGCTGCGTGTATGCGCCCGCGAAAAAGTACTGGTCGTAATACGCGGCAGAGGGCACCTGCTGCTGCTGCTGCTGCTGTTGGTGCTGCTGGTGCTGGTGCTGGTGCTGCTGCTGTTGCGCGTGCTGCTGTTGGTGCTGATGCTGATGCTGCTGGTGGGCGTGCATGCTCTGCTGGGCCGGCGACGGGTGGTGCGTGAACTGCGCAAGCGTCGCTGCAGACTGAACAGCGGCCGGCGTCGTGTGGGCTGTCATGCCAAACGCCTGCTGCTGGTGCTGCTGGTGGTGTTGTTGTTGTTGTTGCTGCAAACCCTGCTGGTGCAGTTGGTGCTGGTGCTGGTGCTGGGGATGATGCGCCCCGCCATGCTGCAGCTGCGCATCTGCCGCTGTGGCGTGTTGCCCGTACCCAACAGCTGCATATCCGCCCTGCATGCGTGCAAAGCCGGCCACGTCGCCTGCTTGCGTCATGCCACCTGCACGCGCATGTGGGGCCGTGGCCTGCGGGGCAGCCGGGTGCATGGCGCCAGGCATGGGTGCACGCGGATATCCTGTCCGTTTGCAAGATGGCACGCAAATCGTGTGAGCGGTGTGCATGCCTGCATGCACGAGTTCGCGTTTGTGTACAAGTGTGCGTGCAAGCATGCCTGTACGTGTTCGGGTGTTGGGGTTGTGGTGTGCATGGATGATGTGTGGCGGTGGCGTGAATCAGTCAGAGCTACGCATGGTCCCATCCCACCTCGGCCACCAGGAGGGAAGGGCGGGCGGCCGCGGAATGCCTGCAGGCAATCACGTTTGTTTTTAGGAGACAAAAGCGGTATGCGTGCATGCGCGTGCGTGCGTGTGTGTGTGTGAGCTTCTGCGTTGACAATGCAGCATTGACAGAAACGAACAGAGGCAGACACTTGTGGTGGAGACACGTAGAGGAATATGCACAATTGCGTGTGTCACAGCGTGCATGCGGTTGCGTCATGTGCACGCAATGCGTGCATGTCGTGACTGCCATTAGCAGCAGCACCACCACAATCGGGTGAGTGGTGTGCACCTGCGGGCAAATGGGCCGGCGCGGGATTGGGGGCCGGTAGCGCGAGCCGCCAAACGGAGGCCGCCCTGAGCACCAGCAGAGCGTTGTGGTGGTGTGGGGGTTGTGTGTTGTATTGTGTGGTGGTGGTGAGACTTGTGACTTGTGGGTAATTCTCAGAGTTCAGATGCATCACGCATCAACCAACGATGAGTGGCTGCCACGAGCAAGCATTCAGACACACACAACACACAACACACAGCACCACCACCTGGTCGCATGGGGGCGGGTCCGCGGAACGGAAATCCAAACGGGGGGCGTGGCCCCGGTTTGCGGGGCGGCGGCGTCGCCGTGGGCTCTGCATTCCGCACGTGTACGAATGAACATGTGTGTGTGTGTGTGTGTGTGTGTGTGTGTGTGTGTGTGTGTGTGTGTGTGTGTGTGTGTGTGTGTGTGTGTGCGAGCGTACCACTCAGCCGTCCGACTATCTGACCCGTAGACGCATGGATCTAGGAACCTGACGCGTTCTCGAATATCGAATTAGCCGGGCAGGGACCTGACAACAAACTAGGAGACTGACTAAGTATATCCAGCCGGGTCGCTGAAATGACGACATCTAAACCGGGAAAACTCCCCCCCTCGCGTCCAACACGCTCAACAATTCACTCGAAAGGGCTTCACCCTTAATAGTACTGCACGGCGGAAACATCGTCGGTGCTCGTACCCTTGAGTGCAGCCCTCATGTTCTTCGGCCGAGTGAGCAAAGTAGCACTCGAGGCCATATGGGCACGGGCGTCTATTTCACACAACAGGCAGCACAATGTAATCAGTGGTTGAAGGTCAGTGCGGGCGAGACAGCGACAACGTGAAGACTGGCGGCCATGTTCACAGCACATCTGTCCATGCACGGCGAGGGCGGGTGGCAAGCCATGTACCATTCGACACACACAGACACAGACACAGGGACAGGCGCGCGCACGCAGAGACACAGAGACAGGCGCACACACACACACACACACACACACACACACACACACACACACACACACACACACTCACTCACAGACAGACAGACACAGACGCAGTGCTCACCGCATGAGGACGAATTTGCACATGCGCTGGCGCGGGTGCAGGGGCCCTGATGACAAACAAACAAGTGTTGTTCAGTCGGTGGCGTTAGTGGTGTTGTAGCGAGGAATGAGTGCTGCATGCACCACGACGCTTCCAATTTCAGCCATGACAGGTTGCTCGTAACGATGGTGCACGCACTTACCTGGCTTGCGAAGTTCGTTTTCGCCGTGTGCAAACCAACACTCGTCGCCAAACTCGCAGTTCCCTGCGTAGGTTACAGACAAAACCCCCACGGCAGCTGTGTGTGAGCATGCATCACTGGGTATAACAACAACAAGAACAACAACAAGAACAACAACAAGAACAACAACAAGAACAACAACAAGAACAACAACAAGAACAACAACAACTTCAACAACAACAGCTTCAACAACAACTTCAACAACAACAGCTTCAACAACAACAACAACAACAACTTCTTAAACAACAACAACAACACCACCACCACCAACAACAACAACTTAAACAACGCCAGCTGCAGCACTATACGTCGAACCTGTCTCAGTGAATGCCTTGCAAAGTTTGGTCTTGCGCATTGGGTTTGCGGGGGCAAAGGACATCTTGTCGGACATCCCTCCCTCACCTTCCAGCAGATCGACACAAAAAAAAAATAAGTTGGACATGAACATACTCGACGTGAGCCACACACAAGTGAGCAGATCACACTGCCCTCCCACTCCTGTGCACGTCCACACATCCACACATCAACACAAATACTCTCACATCAACACAAATACACACAAACACTCTCACATCACACTGCACACCAGCGCAGTTGCCACAGTTGACAAGGATTGCCCATCTAACCTCCTGTGTTGTCAGGACGACTTGTTTCTCCCACGTTGGCGTGCTGCACATGGTGCTCCACGTCCACCGCCGGAGAATCGCCACTGCTGTTCCCGTCCATGACGACAGTGATGTGACACGCAAGTCAGGCAGCAACACGGCACGCACAAGCACGCACAAGCACACACCAAACCGCTGGCAAATGCACTGCGTGCGTTGTTCTCCTCTTCGTTGGTCGCTGCGTTGCGCCGTCGTTGTAGAAAATTTGTGAACATCTTCATTGAATTCACACGAAAATTTCGCTCCAAAAGAAAAGCTGCACAGACACCGGACACACAGCACGTTGTTCGTGTGAGCGCAAGAACAAGATAAGGTAAGTAGTGATGGAGGTGATGGTGGTGCGCTGCCTTGCTTGGTCGCTCGCTTGCTTTGCTCGCTTGCCTTGCCTGCTGATGGTTGGTGCCTGTGCGCGTGGATACCTTCTGCACACTCGCGCAGCTGCACACAGCTCACTCACTCACCCATTCACGCACACATAAACATACACAAATAACCACATTCAACAAAACATTTCCACAACACATATAACCACATTCACTCACCCGCCCGTTACAGTTCTGTTGGCAAGCTCGCAGTCACCAGCAAGCAAACAAAGCAAGCAAGCAAGCAAGCAAGCAAGCAAGCAAGCAAGCAAGCAAGCAAGCAAGCAAGCAGGCACCATGTCGAGCGGACATGGACACCCGACAGCCGCTGTGCTGTTTGTGTCATTCGCCTTGCTCTTGGGCGTGTTCTGTCGCTCCCTCGCGAAAAGCATTGGCGGCGTCATCCCCTACACGGTGCGTTGCCTGCGTTGTCGAAGACATGCAGGGAGGAACAGTGCCAGTATTGGAAGGACGAAGGGTTGTATTCAAGGGCGAGAGACTCATGTGTGCAATGCACTTTCGTGCCACGTGTCCTTGGACTCCAGGTGTTGCTGCTCCTCTTTGGAGTGCTCTGGGGTGTCATGGACGACCACACCACCTCTGAACTAGGTCGGGGCAGCCTCTCTCTCTGTGTGTGTGTGTGTGTGTGTGTGTGTGTGTGTGTGTGTGTGCGTGTGCGTGCGTGCGTGCGTGCGTGTGTGTGTGTGTGTGGGGGGGGGGCGGGGCGGCCTTTGTACATGAGGCACACTGCCTGACTCTCGACACGACTTTGACATTCTCGTCGCACCTCAACCTCACGAGACTTTGTGCTGCTGCTGCTGTTACTACTACTACTACTGTTGTTTTGGTTTCCACAGGCGACGCTGCAAACGAGGTGGCTGATATCGACCCACACCTCTTCTTGCAGGCAAGTGTGCATGTTGTGTACTCTTGCTAGTGCATGTGCATGTTGCTGCGCGTACTCGTCTGCTGCCCGTGCTGGTGTGTGTTTATGTTTGTTTGTTTGTTTGCCGCAGGTGCGTGCTGTTGTCCCTCCCACTCCTGTACTGCAACATTGCACCGCCTAGACCCACGTGTCAGCCACCCCCAGCATGTAGCATGCACGGTCCATTCACAACACCCGCCGTGTTCCATTAACTCCACATCACCACGCAACACGCAGGTGTTTCTGCCGCTGCTTATCTTCGAGAGTGCCTTCTCCATGAAGTGGCACATCTTCAAGCGCATGCTGCCCCAAATGCTGGTGCGTGTGTGAGCGTATGTGAGCGTGTGAGCGTGTGTGAGTGTGTGAGCGTGTGTGATTGTACGAGTGTATACTGTGCATAGCAACATGTGCATGCGTGTCCTTTTGGTTCACTTAGCGGCAGTTGATCAAGTCTCCCAGCTATGCTGGTGCTCACACTAACGTCACCCCTACTTCTCACCCCCGCACCCCCCATCCACTTCCTTTGTCCACAAATGCCACGCGCTGTTTCCCTCACACACCACCCGCTGCTGCTGATCATGCTGTCATACAACGACCAACAACAATTACCGCCACCGCCACCGCCAACAACCACCACCATGACACCCAGGCGCTGGCTGTGCTTGGCGTTGTGATTGCGTCGTCGCTGACGGCGTGTGTGCTGCGTGTGCTCATATCCCCGTTCCTCTCGTGGTCGGAGTGTTTCCTGATTGGTGCCATCGTCTCCGCCACCGACCCCGTCGCAGTGGTGCGTTGCACGCGTGTGGGGTGGCGCGTGTGGGGTGGCGCGTGTGGGGTGTGTGGTGCGTGTGGGGCGTGTGACTCATTGTCCATTGGTTGGCTGGAAGGGCGGGCGTTGCACATCGGGTGCTTGGGCGTTGCTTGTTTGTTGGTGTGCGGTGTGGATGTTCGTGTTCCATCCAGCCGTTATTTTGCTCTGTTTGTTGCGCAGTTCCACCGTACTGCCGTGTACAAATTACGCTCACGTGCTCACATGACCTTACGCACACATGCGCACACACATGCACACATACATGCACACACATGGGCACACGTGCACATATACATGCACACACATGCGCACACGTGCACACATACACACATACATACCACGCGGCCTTTTGGTGCAGGTTGCCCTGCTGAAGGACCTTGGCGGGTCTGCGAAACTGCGCACGCTGGTGGAGGGCGAATCCCTGTTGAACGACGGCACGGCAATTGTCATCTTCGTTGTGTTCCTGGACATCAGTCGCGGGGTTGAGCTTGGGCCCGGGGATGTGGCAGTGACGTTCTTCCGCCTCGCGCTCGGCGGCATTGGCCTTGGTGCGCTGCTCATGCTGATCAGTTGGGAAGGGGTGTGGCTTGTGTACGTGTACGTGCATGTGTGTGCATACGTGTGTGCGTGTGTGCATGCGTGTGTGTGTGCTTGTGTGTGTGCTTGTGTGTGTATGTCCGTGTAGCAACTGTCGCTTGTTTCACCCTCACCGCCCCCCCCCACACACACGCATCTCACCAGGCATCCTGTGGGGCGCGGTAACGATTTGGCTGATTGGACTTGTACACAAGGACACGCTTGTTGAGACGACACTCACCGTCGCCAGCACTTATCTCCTCTTCCACGTTGCAGAGGAGCTGTGCGAGGTGCGTCAGTGCTCTAGACTGTGGAATGGATGTTTGTGGATGGACGCTTATTGGCGCGTTCTGAATGGGTTCTTGCATTTGATTTGAGCGTGTGCGTAATTTGTGCGTGTGTGTGTTTGTGTGTGTGTATGTGTGTGTTTGTGTTTTTGTGTGTGTTTGTGTGTTTGTGTGTTTGTGTTTTTGTGTGTGTTTGTGTGTTTGTGTGTTTGTGTGTTTGTGTGTTTGTGTTTGTGTGTGTGTCGTGTGCATGCGAGCCCTTGTGACTGTACACACCCAATCATTGCTGCTGTGACACCCTCAACCTTACGACACACAACGCGACGCAACGTGGATGCGGCCGCAGGTGTCTGGCGTGCTGGCCATCGTTGCATTGGGCGCCAGCTTCGTCTGGTACGGCAAAACGAAGATCTCACCGTCAGTCGCACACAGGTGCGTACGTGTATGCGCGGGCGCGCGCGTGTGTGTGTATGCGTGCGGGTGCGTTTGTGTGTGTTGGTTTGCGTGTATGTGTATAGTGTGTATGTGTGCGTGAGAGGGGACTCACGTGACACCCTTACTTGTTTGCCGAATCCCGCCCCTCTACAACCGAGTCACACACACACACACACACACACACACACACACAACACACACACACACACACACACACACACACACACACAACACACGCACACACACACACACAACACACACATACACAAAACACCATCTCCATCAACACCAAACACCATCTCTACCAACACAAAACACCATCTCCATCAACACCAAACACCATCTCTACCAACACCAAACACCGCGACGACCGCCGCTGCTCACATTGCGTGTTGTGTTGTGTTGTGTTGTGTTGTGTTGTGTTGTGTTGTGTTGTGTTGTGTTGTGTTGTGTTGTGTTGTGTTTACCCCCTGTGCAGTCTGCACGAGTTTTGGTCCATTCTCGCGTACTTTGGCGAGACGATTGTGTTTGTGCTCGCGGGCGTGCTGCTGGCCCAGAAGGTGGACTTTGCCTATTTTTCCGCCCAGGACTACGGCTACCTCCTCCTCTTCTACGTGCTGCTCATGGTCATTCGGTTCGTAATCACATACGCACATCGTTTGTTGCACGTTGGCGCTCTTTGCCTTGTTCTCCCCCGCTTTCACACACACACACACACACACACACGCATGCATACACACACACACACACACACACGCACACGCACACACACGCGCGCACACACACACACACACGCACACACACGCGCACGTACACCCACGCACACACACACACACACACACACACACGCTCCCCTGCAGCGCCGTCATGGTGGTGATCCTGTCCCCAATCCTCATCAACTTTGGCTATGGATTTGGCATCCGGCGAGCGGCTGGTGGGGCGGCGCTGTTGCGTGTGGACATGATGTCCAGTTGAGGGAATGGGCGTGTCATGCAGCATGTGTAGGGCGTGGGAAAGGGCAAGGGTTGTAATGTGTGCATGTCGTGATGTCGCTGTATCATATCCACGAGGTGTCACGCTCATCGTCCTACTCACCCGCCGCCACACGCGACGACGACACGCGACAATGATTGCGGTGACGGATGCAGTGCTGGTGCACGGCGGGCTGCGCGGGGCGGTCTCGCTGGCGATGGCCCTGCTGGTTGAACTTGAGCACCAGGTGCAGTCATGGCACACACACACACACATACGAACACACACACACACACACACACACGCACGCACACACATGCACGCACGCACACACACGCACACACACACACATACGAACACACACACAGATACACAACCATGAATGATTTCGACGGTGGTGTATGTCGTTTTGTGGTCGGTTGCGCTGTTTTAAAGGGTGGGGGGAGAGGGGGGCGCTGTTGGCGGTGGCGAGGTTGTTTATCTGATGTGCGTCGAGAAACAAGTGCAAAAGTCAAGTTTGCGTTGTTTGCGCCCTTATATGTCACATAATGATCTACATTTCCATCGTGCTCGTTGGTGAATTTTGTTCAGATTCCGGACAAAACGCGCAACTATGCCATGTTTTATGGTGCCGGCATTACATTCCTCACACTCGTCATCAACGCGCCAACGGCTGGACACCTCGTTCGGTGAGCATGGACCAATCACGCACACCAACACGCATACCCACCCGTGTATTTGTGCTTGCGCTTGTGCTTGCACAGCACAATGGCTACCTCTCATGTCACAACTACACATACACACACACACTCACACACGCACACACACACACACACACCACGTGTGCGTGCTGCAGGTGGCTCGGTCTACTGCGGGCATCGCATGCGCAGAGCGAGCAGTTCAATCGCGGCGTGAAGTTGCTGCTGTCAAAGTTGACAGCAGACATGCAAGCGTCAATTGAGCGCGCGCCCGAGGACCAGAAGTCCCTCTGCAATTGGCCAAGGGTGCGTGTGTGTATGTGTGCATGTGTGTGCGTGTGCGTGTGCGTGTGCGTGTGTGCGTGTGTGCGTGTGTGTGCGTGTGCGTGTGTGTGCGTGTTTGTGTGTGTGTGTGTGCTGACGGCCGTTGCACGGCGTCGTGCTACCTGGGATTGCATTTGCAGGTGAAGCAGTTTCTGTCGTTTGAAGAGCTCATCCAGCCCGTCAGCCACCGCATGGGTATGCATCACGCGCACGCTCATGGTCCTGACACGCGATTGATGTACAACAAGCACGAAGCGCAAGCACTGTTACCGTCACCGATCACAACCACCACCACCACTACCACCATCATCATCACCATCATCAATCATCAGGTCGCCAGCTCTCTGCCGCTGAGCTCGCAGTCATCAACCGCGACCCGCACGTGAGTGTTTGTGTGAGTGTTTGTGTGAGTGTTTGTGTGAGTGTTTGTGTGTGTGTGTGTGTTTGTGTACGTGTGTGCGTGTTGTTTGTTTTGCTTGACTTGAACTGCTGCACTATGTCTGTTGAGTCACAGTGAATCACCCTTCATGCAAACCCGTACAAACACTGCTGCCAACCCGCCTCTGTGCGCATGTTTGCAGGCGCAAGACAACGACGACGATGACGCCCTTGGTCTCATCGTCCCAGACGAGGACGAAGCAGATTCGGTCCGTGTCTGTGTGCGTGTGTCTGTGTGCGTGTGTCTGTGTGCGTGTGTCTGTGTGCGTGTGTCTGTGTGCGTGTGTCTGTGTGCATGTGTCTGTGCGTGTGTGTGTGTGCGTGTTGCTTTCATGTTCGTGGTAGCACGTGTCATCCTCGTTCTCTGTGGACGACGCACTGGTTGATATCGACTCCATTTCTCACATCTCACATCTCACATCTCACATCCTGCTGTCACCACACCAACATCTTCCATTCCATGCCACCGCACCCACGCTACCCTACCATGTGCAGGCGCTGTGCTGTGCGCGTGTGCGTCGCCCCGAGCAGCGGTTGAGTGCACGCGCTCTCCGCCTGCAGGAGGCACGCCTTCGCTTTCTCCGCGGAACTGTCGAGGTGTATCATCAACTGGTAAGCGTGCGTCCTGCTGTGAGGTGTGAAGGGCGGGCGCTGGAAAGTGGTGTGGTGGCTTGGCGCTGTTTGTGGCATGCTGCTGCTGGCGTTGCTGTCATAGTTGTCGTTTGTAGATTGTGGTTGTTGTGGTTGCATGTGTGTATTTCCCTCATTTCCCGCCACAATCACGGGTTTGCCAACACCACCCAACGCTGCCACACCGCCCCACACCACCACACCCATGCACTCTGCGCGCGCGTGCGTTGACTGCTGTTGCAGTCGCTTGACGGGCAGCTGTCGAGCGATTCGCTCAAAGCGCTGCTGGCGGCAGAGGAGGCGGCCGAGGACCGCTGCCACAAACCCTTCTCAGAGTGGACGGTGCGGTTGTTGTTGTGCGTTTGTGGTTGTGTGTGTGTTGTTGTTGTTGTGGTTGTTTGTTTATGCATTTGTGGTTGTGGTTATGGTTGTGAGTTTGTGGTTGTGGTTGTTATTGTGGTTGTTATTGTGGTTGTGGTTGTTATTGTGGTTGTGGTTGTTATTGTGGTTGTGGTTGTGGTTGTGGTTGTTTGTTTATGCATTTGTGCTTGTGCTTGTGCTTGTGTGTGCATTCGTGCGTGTCTGCTGCCGATCTTGTGCGTGTGCAAGGAGAGAACGGCATCGAGCGCTCGCACTCAATTGCACCGTCATCGTTGTCGGTGTTGGCAGGACACGCTGTGGAGCGTGTGCAAGAACCCCAGCTGGCTCAGTTTCTTGCTGAAGAAGAACAGGTGGGCGACAGTTGGCGAGTGCCAGGGAACACACGTGCTGACCTCGCGTGGTCTTCATCATGTATCCATCACATGCTTGATTCTCACCGCTTTGCACACCATGTGCACACATACACACACGCACACGCACACACACACACACACACACACACACACACACACACACACACACACACACACACACACACACACACACACTCTCTAC